GGACCGCTCCAACTCCATAAGATGAGGCATCCCATGAGAGAAAAAGAGGCAAGGCATCATCATAATGTACCAGTGTCTGAGTTAAGAATGAGCTGCTTTGCTGCAACAAATGCATCCTCTTCAGCCTTCAACCATCTCCATGAAGTACCCTTTTTAAGTAAATGGTGCAAAGGTGCTAGGACTGTAGAATGATGAGGCATGAACCGCGAATGGAACATTATAGGTCCCAAGAGAGATTTCAAAGCCGTTACATCTTTGGGCCTGGAGCATCTCGTATAGCTTTAAGTTTATCCTGAGTGGGGTGTAGACCCTCTCCACCAATCATATGTCCCAAGTAGACAACTGATGATTAGAAAAAACTTGCACTTTGCCTTGTTTAGTCGGAATCCAGCATTAGGAAGTCGCCCTAACGCTAGTGAAAGTGTGTGAAGGTGGTCCTCTTCATCTATACCAGCAACAAGAATAATGTCGTCCAAACGACTAACAGCCTTTGGTATGTCCAACAACAAATTATCCATGATTCTCCGAAAGATAGCAGGATCAGAATGAATGCCATTCGGAAATCTTTTGAATGCAAACAACCCAATCTGTGGCATAGGGTAAGTTTCAACACGGGCACTTGCATTGCATGTTACACTAAAACCTCCACAAACGCGGAAATCCTCTGAGTCTTTCTTGTCGACGACTACAATTGGAGCTGCACTGTTTGCAGATGTCACTCGTTCGATCACATCATATTTTTCCATCTTAAGCAGTGCACTCTTAACTTTTGACTGTAATACATAAGGAACTGGTCTGTCTTTATGAAATTTGGCTTCTTTACTTTCATTTAACACGACAGGATCCCTATTATAACATCCAAGTTGGGGTTGAAATAATTCATTGTATTTCTCAAGGACAGATGCTAATGTCTGGTTTCCTAGGGTTTCTTGGTGTGTAGAGGGACAGCACGGCAAAGGTCCAACATTATTCAAACCTGACAATTTCTTCCAATCCAGCTTGACATCTGTAAGCCAGTTTTGACCAAATAAAGTACCAGTCCTTTCGAGTACAATTAGCAAAGGCAGTGTGTGTTGTGATCCCATCTACTCAAAATTCACAAGTGCTCCTCCTAAGGGACGCACAGTCTCACCTGTGTATGTCGACAGCCCAACATTTGTAGATTTCATTTCAACGTTTTGGCAAACTTGTTTCACGAAAGTAATCAGGCAAGAGACAACGCACACCCAGTGTCTAACTGCATTAGACAATCCTTGTCTTCAATCTTTAGCAGTGAATAAAATTCAGATCTGGACATTGCATGAACATCAGACACCACATACAATTCCTCTTCTTCAGATAATTATCCCTGAGGTGGCTCTTTTTCAAAACCCATAACATTGTCACTTTGTTTTGTTTTGCTTGCGCAACTTTCCTGAAGATCAATTTAATTTAAACTTTCTGCACTGTAAGGGATAGACTGACGTATCCTCAGCTAATAAGCCTGCTGAAAAGTTTTCATGCACATTATGAGATCAGTAATAATAGAGTAGTTTGCGTAAGCCGTTCGTTATGGGTTTGTCTCCAAATGCTAATAAGAATAACATTAAGAAGAGTTGTGAACATTTATTCAATCAACCAATGCTACAAAGAATAGTGATTTCTTCGGGTTAGTGGCTGTTAAGTCACAGTAAGCAACAAAAAGGCAAGTATATTCAAAAGCACTAAAATGACATGCGTGCATCCACATCCATGACCTTTTGGCTCCACAGAATGTTATTGGCTCGTTCTTGGCTAAAAACGACATTCTAGTACATTCCAACATGTGCCTAATATTCTCGTGAGTCGTGGCCTGTTTGGTTGGGCATGCGTGATTCCAGGGTTCACAACCGTTATTAATTGTTCTTCTAGATATCATTTCGTGACAAACTCATCAGCATATAAAAAAAAAGGTCTGTAGGGGCCAGCTACGCTTGGCAGAATAAATAAGACACAACAACTTCTATCTGTCTAATTCCTTGTATTCTTGTACAGGATAATAAGAACGAATAACAAATAAGGGTCTATCCGGCGACGATTCGAAGTTATTGCTTCTTACATAGCCTAAGATCCTTCGCTAAAACTAACTCGGTAAATCAGTGAAAGTGATTTATGGTGCTTACACTTCTGTTTCCAAAAAGTCATTAATGAAAAGTTACAGGAGCGGGTGGCTGCTTAGATCACACATCCTCTAAGTACTGAACACAATCTGACACCATTGCAGTTATGGGTTCAAGGTAACTTTGAAAATGCTTGTTTTCAGCAAACAGTCAGTAATGACTATGGTATTGATTGGGAGGGTCCGGTCAGTGTTGACAATGTTTATGAAGACGGTATTGATGTGGTCACCACAAATTGCCTTTTGAATCAAACTCAGCTGAATGATCTACAGAGAATGGTAGATGAAAGTGGTTACACAGTGCCATCAACTACCCCATGGCAAAGTGTCAGATGTTACCTTTTGGTTAAGGACTTTGAAAAAGGTTGTATTCAAAACAGCACTTAGGTACCATTTAGCAAATGATGACAACAGATATTTCAACACCATTGGGTTTGACCATTTACATATTGTTGCTGTTGTGTCTTTATTCCTTTCTCAGAAGGAGCTCACAAAGATTGTTTCCTGTATTGAAATGATGCAGGATTTAAATTGATAATGGTATATTTATCAAATTAACTGCAAAAAATCAACCAGATGATTAAACAATAACATGCCCTCTTGAGGCAAAACCTTTGCTCAAAACTTGTTCTAGTTTGCCAGGGAAGAGGCCTAGGTGTTCAAATTAAACAGTATGTAATGTATGTAATACATCCATGCCTTTACTTAAAAGAAACAGTAAAGTGAATAACAAACACTGTATCGTGTACATTGACTGAGGACAAAGAAACAAGATCAGGTATATTAAAGTTCACACGGCAACCAGGTGGACAATCAGACAAAGTTTGATGCTACACTGGTTTGCAGATTTAATGAATGTAACCGAAGAAGTTACAATTCATAGACCCAACGTTTCGACACTCCTGTCTAGTGCCTTCATCAGGGGTGATCTAAACGCTGCAACAAGAGGTCCTTTTATATGATCACTAATTAGCGGCCTTTTTTTTTCTGACGAGGTGTAAATAAGCGTCAGGAAGCAGACCGCCATCGTCACGATTTAAAGGAGCGTTGGCGGAGTTAATGTGCCAAGCCTCCAAACAAAGGCGCTGGTGGTAGCGCCGATTAGTGGTGATAATTTTAGAATTATCCCACCCAATTGTATGGTTGGTTAGGCAAGTATGCTCCGATAAAGCTGAATTTTCCTTTTTGCAAAGAAATACCGCTTTTTGGCGCTCTTTTAACCGTGTACCAAACTGGCGTTTGGTCTGTCCGATGTATTCGTTGTCACAGTCATTGCAAGGAATAGAATAAATGGCGTCGGTTCGTTGTTCTTTCGTGACAGGATCCTTAGGTTTGGCGAAAATATGCCCCAAAGTCTGAAAAGGTTTTTGAGCAATTTTAACGTTGTGGCTATTCAAAATTCTCTTGATGGGTTCAGTAACACCCTGTATGTAAGGAATAATAGCAAAACCAGTCGCTGGTTCCCTTTTATCAAGAGCGTTTCTATTTGTAACTGGTTTTTGGCAGTTACGGAGAAAAGTTTTTGTATAGCCATTTGCCTTTAGGACATTGGAAACATATTTCCTCTCCTCAGCCTTCGAATCGAGTGATGATGGTAGACAGTCAGCCCTCCTACGTAAATTTTTGGCTACAGACTTCTTACGGCAAATAGGATGGTGAGAATCGAAAGCGAGGTATTTGTCGGTGTGGGTGGGTTTACGGTAGACACTTGTCTCTAAATTACCCTTGTCAGGAATCTTCCGATTGCTTCTAACGCAAGAGATTTTCCCGATAATATTCACGTTAAATCGACTAACAGACTCGAATCACTTCACTATATTTTTAATGTCCCAGCACAGAGGAAAAATTACAATCGCTAGATCACATGTCAACTCGCACATGGTTTTGAAACCCTAAACTTACACCACGTGATTACAGCTTATCACTAGGTAACTAGAACAAAAGGAACAAAGTTCAATTTCACAGCGTGACAGTCACGCAGTCCATTTCCTAACACTCTCCCCCCATTTGTCTCGAGAGAGCAAATGTCTTAGAGGCTATCTTAACCTGATCAGTACACAATGATAAATGAAAACCATGATGAACGAAAATAAAAACACTCTCTCTAGTCTTGATCATCCGTTTGAGCAAGTTCCTGGATACGAGCCCTAGCAGCAACTGCGGCGTTTCTTCGTGGTCTAAAGGCTGGTACAGTAGGGTTCAGAGCTGCTGGTGCCATTGTCATGTCACAGGTAAGCTCAAGAGGATACAAATGCTGCAGTGGGCGTTCAATGACTGACTTGGGAGTGCGTAGCTTTGCTCCTCGGACCACACCATCTCGACCAATTATCAAGTTGATCACCACTCCAACTTCCATTGAGCACGGTTCTTTTTATCGGACAACCACATCTCCTACTGCTGGATGGGCATTGTCACCCTTGTGCTTTAGGTGATGTCTCTCCCGGAGCCCCTTCAGGTATTCTTTGGTCCAGCGGGACCACACTGCATCTTTACACTTGCCCAAGTACTTTGCACGCTTTCGGAGGTCATAGTCTTGGATGTGGTTTGGCTCCAATTCTGGCAGTGCATTCGGTTGCATGTGCAATAGAGAACTTGGGGTAAGGATGGGCAGCTCGATGTCATCCTCCACATAATCTAGTGGCCTGTTATTAAGGGCAACTTCCACATCTAGCACCACTTCTTGGAGTTCGTTCCACGACAGCAATCCATTCCCGATAGACTTGTATAGGGATCCTTTAACCAGCCCGATCAATCTTTCAAACTGGCCGCCCCACCAGGGCGCACGACTGAGATTGAATTTCCACTCGATCCCCTGCTGGGCGAGGAACCCATAGATCCTCTCATCTTTCATTACTTGCTCAATCTATTTGGATGCACTGACAAATGTTTTACCATTGTCGGAGTAGATTCGCTGCGGTCTCCCACGTCGGGCGATGAAGCACTTCAAGCTTCTGATGAACTCAGTGGTCTCAAGGTTTGGCACAAGGTCTACATACACAGCACGTGTAAGGCTGCAAGCATATAGTAGGATGTATGCCTTTCCTTCAGTTTTTGGTCTCTTCCGGTACCTCAACGGTCCCGCAAAGTCCACTCCAATGACTTGGAAGGGTGTTTGGCCCACTGTGCGATCCCTTGGGAGGTTCCCTGGCGGAGCAGAGGTATAGGCCTGCGCCCTGAACCGCCGACAACCATGGCAAGACTTCATGATCCTTTTAGTTAATCTTCTCAGGCGTGGCACCCAGTAGTGCTCTCGTACTTTTGCCATCGTACTCCCAACTCCCCCATGCAGCACTGCAACATGGGCCTGGGCCACTAACTTCTCAGTGTACCGTTGTCCATCTGGTAGGAATATCGGGTAGTGGCCCTGAACTCTGCCACGGCATTCCAGTACTCCATCTTCATTTTTCTGTAGATTCAGCTGCAGCTTGTCTTCTTGGTATAGCCCATCACCAGTAGCTCGCGCCTGCACTCGCTTCACCCGAAAGAGTTCTGCTTTCTTTGTTTCGTCTGCGGTTAGCGGTCCCTCCAACATCTTGGTCTTCTTGGCGCGAGAATTTTGGGTGAAAAGGATTATCCATGCGGTCACTCGAATTGCTTTCCACTGGCTGAATTTTTCAACAAGGTCATCCAGCTTGTCTGCCACTGCCACTGCTACTGCTACTAGCATGTCTTGTTTTGCTTTAGCTTCCGCCAATGATTCTTGTGTGGCATTCGTCACTATGTCAGGGGGCCAGCATGCTTTGTCTGACAACCACTCGGGGCCGTTCCACCATAAGGCATGGTTGGATACTTCTCCGCTACGGCTTCCAACATCAGCTGGGTTGTTTGATGTTCTTACGTGATGCCACACTACATCAGAATGCGCTTGAATCTTTTCAACTCGGTTACTTACAAACTGTTTGTATTCTCCTGGGCATCTTATCCAATGCAGGGTAACAGTGCTATCGAGCCAACAGTACTTCACGGTTACAGGAAAGCCTTCCAAAGCCTCACTCACATTTGACAGGAGATTTACTGCCATGTGACCTGACACCAACTCTAACCGAGGTATGGTTAATCCTTTCTTCGCTAATGTTGCCCTTGAAGCAACTAACCCTTGGTTGACACCCTTCTCTTGCACCACTACAGCATACACCGCAGCAGCCATACCTTTCCCACTCGCATCCCCGAAGGCATGTAACTCAATGGCTTGGATGTCCTCTTGATGTGCTGCTAATGATCGAGGTACGGTGACATGGCTTGGAAGTTTCTCCTCCCATCGAATCCAACTTTGCATCAGATTGCTTGGCAGTTTAGCATCGCAGGCTAGCTTCGCATCACAGATATCACGGTACAGGAATTTGCCACCGAGTGCAATAGGTGACACCAGCCCCAATGGGTCATATATGCTTGGCCACTTTACTGAGAATCCCTCGCTTTGTTGGCTCGGTGCTCTCTGATGGGAAGCTTACGCTGATGGTATCGCTCTCGTTGTTCCACTGTAGACCAAGTAGAGAAGCTCCCTCTTTCCTTGAGGTACCTAACTGCTCCTTCGCATATGTTTCTTCTTCTGAGGCTGGTACTGAGCATGTTGTCTCCAACTCCTTCACGTTTGAGTGCCATTTGCAACTCAAATGTCCCTTTAGCAAATATCTCCATTGATGCTGACTTGATGGTTTCTGCCTTTGCTTGAGTGGGCCCTCCACTGATAAGATCATCTACATAAAGGCTTCTCTCAATCTCACGAACAATCTCTGGGTGCTTCTCCCTGCAGCTCTCCAGGAGATGTTGTACAACTCCCCCGAGAAGAAATGGTGAGCAGGTGAGGCCAAAGAGGGCTCTGGTAAACCTAAGTGCTTCTACTGTCTGGCTGTTCAGATCTTTTAACCAATGGAACCTTAACGCGTCACAGTCTTCTTCTCGAATTCTGACTTGGAGAAAGGCTTGTTTGATATCTCCTGCAATTGCAACAGGGTGGAAACGCGCACGGACCAGCACATTCCACAACTGATTTTGAAGAGGAGGCCCAGGTTTAAAACATTCATTCAAGGAAGGTGCTCCAGAATTTGCACGAGCAGATGCATCATAAACAACACGAAGCTTGGTTGTTTCTGCCGATTCCCGCAGTACTGGCTTGTGTGGGATGTAGAACTCCCGCCTCCCGGTAACAGGTCCAGAAACTCTTTCAACAATGCCGGCCTCGATCTGATCCTGGATGACTTGGTCATACCGTTCAATAGTTCCTTGGCTGCGTAACTTCCTCACAAGGTTCCCCAATCGTCGAAGACTTCCAACTTCATTGCTGGGAAGGGGAGGATGGTTGCCTCTCCATGGAAGCCCTGTCTCATATCATCCTTCTTCATCCTGTGTCAACTGCTCTTTGAAGTCTGCGTAAACTTCCTCTTGGTCACCAGTGGACGAATCAGCTAGGCCCAGAACATCTAGTTTGCACAGGTTGTCATAGTCTACGTGCGAGGTCTGTGCGAAGAACATTGGTGATAAGTCTACTTCCTTCCCAGGAGACATTATGGTCCAACCGAGCTTGGTCTTCTCTCCTATAGGCTCACCTAGGGCTCCAACACGGGGTGCAGTTTCGGTCTTGATTTTTGCATAATCACTGGCTCCAAGGATGAGTTGTACTGGCAGAATATCCTTAGACTCCTTGTCTTCCATTTTAATTCCTTTCAAGTGGGCATACTTAGCCAAGCACTGCTCGTAGCGAGGGTTTTCTAAAGTGAGTAGCTGATTCTTATCCACTTTCGTAACTTCAGTCTTAAAGCAAAAGTCCCCAGACGTTGAACTGACTTGCACTTGAAATATTTCGACTTGCTTAGTAACCGCGCCTAACATCATCTCAATTTGGGGTACTTCATGTTGGCAAGGGCGAACTCGCAAAAGGCTGAGGAGGGCTGCTGAAGCGTAAGAACTACCCGCTCCAGTGTCCAAAAGCGCACGACACTTCACTCCTTGGACCTTCACAACCACCACTGGATGGATCACCGCTGTTTTCCCTGCTGAGGTGGCTGTCATCAACTGCTCACCAAGCCTATCACAGATGGAGGTGTGATGCCTCTTTTGACAAACTTGACATAATACACGGCATCTGCAATCTGCAGCCTTATGTCTGGTGCCGGTACAATTGAAGCATAGGTGTTTCCTGCTTAGCACTCGTTTGCGCTCATCAACTGATGCAACTGTTTTGCAGTCCACGGATCTGTGGTCAGGTTTCTCACAATACACACATCCTCGAGCTCGTTCGTCTTTCTGCAGGGCTTGAAATGATCTGTCTCGCAGAAAGGGTGGCTTTTTCCGGTCAGGCGGCTTCTCGTTCAGTTCAAGTTCGACAGGATTTCTCTCTGTCCACTTCCGGAGGGCTTCCACAAACTTTGGAAAGTCCCACTCTCTCCAATTGTCATCCGTCCTTGCCAGATCGCCCCTGATTCCTTGTACATTCTCACGTACCCACTGATTTATTTAAACTTTCTGAGCGTCTCCAAAGACTGCACGTTGAACAACAACTTTTCGTAGAACTCGTGAATCTTCTTTGGATGTGAGCCAGTAATCACCGGAAGCGCCATTATGTTCTGAACATACGCGTTTACAATCTCGCTCGTCTGACCATATTTCGACTGAAGGATGCTTTTAGCTCACTGATAACCTTCTGTCGTGAAGGGCAAACCATCAATGGAGGTTTTAACCTTTGGATTAACAAGCTCCTTGAGATAAGAGAACTTTGTTACGGCAGCCACTTCGGAACGATCGATTTCTGCTTCGAACTGGTTCCAAAACCGTGGCCAGTCCGTTAACTCTCCGCTAAACTTAGTGATGACCAGCTTCGGCAATTTAGCGCTTTTCACTGGAGCAGGCGACGGCACAACTTGACCCACTTGACTTTTCCTCGCTTCTTCAATCTTCTTCTCAAATTCCAGCTTTTGTTCCAGCTGTGCACGCTCGAACTGCAGTTGTTTGTCTCGATCTCTCTCGACCAGCTCCTCTTCGCATTTCTTCGCTTGCAGACTTGTTTTTTAATCGATTTGAACCAGTGTTTCCGACAAATACTTGATTTCCTAGTCAGCCGTTGCTTGCTTTGCCTCAACTCCAGCGCTCCATTCGGCTAGCTCGCCAACTTCAACGCCACTCTCCACTTTCGCTTGCTCAATCTGTGTTTTTACGCTTTCGACTTTCTTCACAATCGCCCGAAGAGCTTCACGATGTCGTTAGATTCCTTCAGTGTTTGCTTTCTCGACGATCCCCTTGGTTTTCCCTTGAGTAAATGCGAGAAGTTTAAGTTGCACGTCCAGCTCTGAGGTCAACGCCTCCATTGTTAAGTTGTTGTTCGAGCTTCAGGTTTGATTCCCTTGCTTTGTTTTGTTGTTTTGCTCACGGTCCCGTCGGAGGTGCCAGTTTGTGTCAGGAATCTTCCGATTGCTTTTAACACAAGAGATTTTCCCGATAATATTCACGTTAAATCGACCAACAGACTCGAATCACTTCACTATATTTTTAATGTCCCAGCACAGAGGAAAAATTACAATCGCTAGATCACATGTCAACTCGCACATGGTTTTGAAACCCTAAACTTACACCACGTGATTACAGCTTATCACTAGGTAACTAGAACAAAAGGAACAAAGTTCAATTTCACAGCGTGACAGTCACACAGTCCATTTCCTAACACCCTGAACCCCTCTGGACACGTTTAAATCAAGAAAGGGCAAATGTCTATCCTTTTCACGTTCAAGGGTGAATTGGATCGACGGCTCTACTGAATTCAAATGCGACAAGAGGCGCTCCGCTTCATTTCCGGATACCGCAAAAATAACATCATCGACATATCGTTTCCAGAAAAAGGGTTTAACCGGTGAAGTGGCTAAGGCCCTTTGTTCCACGTCTTCCATTACCATGTTAGCAATGACAGCAGAAACAGGCGAACCCATCGCTGTACCAAAAACTTGTTGATAGTATGTGCCGTTATATGTAAATTGCGTGGTTTTGAGGCAAAAAGACAGCAGATGAATAATATCCTCCACAGGCAAAGAAGTTCTTTGTCCTAGGGAAGCATCTTCTCTGAGTCTTTCCTCCGCAACCTTAACGGCAAGATCAACTGGGATTTTGGTGAAGAGCGAAACAACGTCGAAAGATACTAATTCTTCACAAGCGTCAAGAGTTTTATCTCTTATGAAATCCGTAACTGCCAAAAACCAGTTACAAATAGTAACGCTCTTGATGAAAGGGAACCAGCGACTGGTTTTGCTATTATCCTTTACATACAGGGTGTTACTGAACCCATCAAGAGAATTTTGAATAGCCACAACGTTAAAGTTGCTCAAAAACCTTTTTAGACTTTGGGGCATATTTTCGCCAAACCTAAGGATCCTGTCACGAAAGAACAACGAACCGACGCCATTTATTCTATTCCTTGCAATGACTGTGACAACGAACACATCGGACAGACCAAACGCCAGTTTGGTACACGGTTAAAAGAGCACCAAAAAGCGGTATTTCTTTGCAAAAAGGAAAATTCAGCTTTATCGGAGCATACTTGCCTAACCAACCATACAATTGGGTGGGATAATTCTAAAATTATCACCACTAATCGGCGTTACCACCAACGCCTTTGTTTGGAGGCTTGGCACATTAACTCCGACCACGCTCCTTTAAATCGTGACGATGGCGGTCTGCTTCCTGACGCTTATTTACACCTCGTCAGAAAAAAGGCCGCTAATTAGTGATCATATAAAAGGACCTCTTGTTGCAGCGTTTAGATCACCCCTGATGAAGGCACTAGACAGGAGTGTCAAAACGTTGGGTCTATGAATTGTAACTTCTTCGGTTACATTCATTAAATCTGCAAACCAGTGTAGCATCAAACTATGAAAGATCAGGTACTTAGTAACTATAGCTAGTTACAGATATTAAAACTGAAATCTGAACTAATTGTCTTGTATAGCTTAAGGATAATTCACTGGTTTGTGCAGCAGAAAGAAATTTGCAACAAGACAGCTGTAACTGGAACATTTCCATAATAAAACCAGCAAAAAGGATGTGCTAATACAATCCATAGTCAGTTGGTACCTTTCTTACCATTTTGAAAGTACTATAAAATCATTGAACAATCAAAGAAGAAAATTTTTGTTTCATCAAGACAGCCAGCACTGGGACTCGCATAAATATTAACTAAAGAACAAGTAAAACATTGTTCAACAGGAACTGGAAGCAAAGTGAGGAATAACTTTAAAAATGAGATATCAGGCCCTTATAATGTTCATACTTTTCCAAAGCCATGGCACTCATGAAGAGACTCTTTCATGAGCTCATTGAACTGTTGTAGGTCTTCGATACCCCTTGGCAAATGCAAGGTTAGGGCACAAGTTGATGACCAGGGATGGCGGCGCACATTTCCAATGAAGTCATAAAAGTGTACAGAGATCAATGGTCAAAACCAAGTGGGGGAACAGAATCTGCTCCACTGATAAACACAAGGAGGCCCTTGAGTGTTAAACCATCTGCTTCATTCTCTTCAAGGTCCTTGAGAAAGAGCTCAAAGCAGTAAATTGTGGAATTCTCACGGCTTCTGTTGTTTGATCCTACTTCAGAACGTTTTAACTCATATAGGGAACTAAAAGTGCTTAAGGTAAGCTTTTCATGGCTGCTGCTCAAAGTGGCATCAAAAACTGATTGGTTTGCCATCACCATGTTTCCAAAGTTTCCAATGCTGTTCATTCCTTCCATGAACTGAGCAAATTCTGCATGAACACCATAGACAAAGTTTTGCTTCAACAAACAATCTACTACTTCTTTCTTGTGAGCTTAATTGACAGTGTATATCTTGGAGTAACCATACTGAGCAATCTGATCTGCATGCTTAGTTATGACTTCAGCACACTCCTCTTCAGAGCAACATGCTGCAGTAGCCCTCAATATCTCCTTCATCTGAACATTAGCAACCTCCTCAATAGCTAGTGCTTGGTCAAAGGTTGCACCCCTGCAAATTTTGTAGCCCTCTGATGAAAAGCATATGGGACCATTATTGCCTTGCAAGACACTCCAAGCAACCAACTTTCCAGTTAACTGGCCATTCAGCTGATTAAGATCATGGGAAAACCATGGACCACTGAGAACTGAAGATTCCCGAATGGAAGACATGCGGAGGTGAAAGAATTCACGCTTTGGTCTGCCAGCATCAATGGCCTCCTCACCAGCAAAGGTGACAGTAACAGGTTGGAAAAATGAAAATGTTTTTCTCTCAATGGCCCTGAGGATTGTTGGCAAAACAGATTTCTGGCTTATAATAATACTGACAGGTTTATCTGGTTCAGGGGGCTGCTGCAAATTTTTTGCTTGAAATGATGTTAGGATCACGTTCACAGACTGGTCTTCTCTAGTTTGTAGTTCAGGGTCACTTGCATCACTTGAGGTGGCTGTCTGTTTATCTAATGAACTTGCTTCTATGGCAGCAAGGAAATCTGGGTCTTAATCTTCATCAATAAGGTCAACATAATTATCATAATGTGCTTGAGGAAGGAAAATAGATGAGACATGTGGTGTTCCAGGTAAAGCTGGGACAGGATGACCTCTTTCTGCATGGTGGTCATTAGAAGGGGCACATGATGTTCCAGGTACAGCTGGGACAGGGTCATCTTTTTCCTACCATACTGCTGAGAGGTCATCATCTGAGTCAATATTCTCTGACAAAAGAGTTAAATGCACACAACATTCAGTTTGCCACATGCTTACAAAATAAATATCGTACATGTCTATAAAAGTCACTGGTATGTTCAGCAATAAGTGTTTTTATTTTTTCCTCTAACTCTAAATGCAATTTAGTATATCTATACATATAAACTGTCAAATATTCATTGGCATAGATAAACATATTTCAACACTTAAGAGATTTTGCAAATTTAAATAGGGGAATGAAGTGAAACTTTGTTGATTTCTTGCTATTAAATGTGTAAATACATCATAATGGTTTCTGGTTTCTCAAACTGAATATTTGACTGTTTATAAATGGTAGAAATTATGCTGTTGTTGTTGTTGTCAAGGGGATTCTGGTGGTGAATTTATTTCACACTTGACTGTGAAGATGTGCCCATGGGTAAGGAATTTGATGTCAATTCCCCCTCTCCTGCCATCTTAACGTCCATAAGTGCATTTAAGTGTGGTAACTAAAGGCTGGGAATTTTTTTTCCATCAGCATGTTAAGGCTAAATTTATTTTACAAGGTGAACATAAAACATGTAAAGGAAAATTATTTCTTGACCAACAAACCTGATACCTGTCAAAAACTGCAGGTCATGCAAGCCTCACACATTCTATCTTTTGGTGACACTTCTTAAAAATGTATGATTGGGAAATAAAGAACGAAGCCAGTACAATGCGACGCCTTGTACACATTTGGCTAACAAAAATTCCGGTAGCATCCAAGATGAAGGCTAAAAGATCAACTTACGAACTGAATAAGCCCTTAACTGTACCTGTGTTATTTTGTTTCGAACATGCAATGTAATGTTCCCTTAGAACCATGCACCGTTTACATCTCTCTTTATGAACGAGTGCCTTCACCTGAGCGTGTGAGGGGTTTTCCAGAAGTAAATTTTCTTGAATGGGTCTCACAAATATCTTCCCTTGGCCGATAAATGAAACAAGGTATTTAATTGTGAGTCCGTTTGGTCCAGGGGGAACCATTCTCAAATCCCTCTGCCGCGGTTCTGCATACATCAGTTCAAAACCCCCTGCATCTATTAACTTTGGGAAGGTTTCTATGACAAGGTCTCGAATTTCCATTTCATTCGATTCCTCGGGTACAGAAATCTTCACTTCCCCCAGACCGGCCATCAGCAATTGCCTCTGTTCTTCAGCATCTGGGGTCTCCGATTGATCCTTGTTACTCAAACAGAGAAATTTACGTGTGATTGTTTTACACTTTTTGTTGTTGTTGTTTTTTTTTTTACACCCTAGGCCTTTCGCTTTTTACCCCTTATAGTCTGGGTGCTAAAGCTATTCCGTGGGCATTTTTGGAAGAAAGCAAGCCAGTGGCCTAACATGGTTCACTAGACCATAAGGAATCTAAAAATCGTTGTTGACAATTTTGTTAAGCGATTAGACGGTAATTATGGGGTATTGAAAAAGGACCAACCTGATCCAGCATGGAAACGAGGCTGAGAGGCTACAAGGGGCCATTATTTCTCTCCAATTCAGTGAAACCCACCCAAATTCACCAGATACAACAAGTAAGCAACCCTGAAGCCAAAAAACTAGTTTATTTTATTAACAAGGGTCACGTGATCGATCTAGCATGAAAGCGAGGCTAGTAAGTTTAGCATGAAAGTAACATTAGCCCATACCGCGGACTCGTGTCCTAACTCCTGAAATTTAATTGTGAAACAGTCCAGATGCCAGGAAATCGACTATGTTTATTAATGAAAGTCACGTGATTGACTAAGCATGAAAACGAGGCTCATAACTCGCGATTAATGACATGCTGGCCAAAATCGCCTTAATTTACAAAGCTGTGACCTTTAAAGCCAACCAAGAGGGCTGTTTACACTAAATTTCTGCTGTAACATCATGAACTAACGATGACAACGAGGCTTATTAATTACATTAAGCCTTACTCTGTCCCGTAAACCATAAATAATGATAGCAATCGCTGGTCCTTGGCGAGATTAAAATATACAAACTATACTATCACCGTGTTAACTTATTAGAAAAAATTAAATGCTTTCAACTGGGCACAAAGTTGTGTTAAGTTGTCAGTCACCTTATATCTTTCATATTTCTTACTGATATATCGAAGGTAACGTTAACCTACAAAGTAAGATAGCTTCATTTACAGGAACACATAAAAATGTATCAGCATTAATTCAAGGTCCATCTGTTAATTTTCTTTATTCTTCATGTCATCCTATTCGTCATCACATTCTTCATTGTCATCTATCACATCACTGAAAAAATTCTGGCAGGGTTCATCCTCTTCATCACAGCAAGAGCAAAGGTCTGTGCATGGCAATCCATTTCTGCGGCACTGGCATCGGTTGCTTGCGCACTGCTTGGTGCATCCGTATTTGACTAGCTGAATTATGGCCTCTGGTGCTGGCAGCAGCCTTGTCATTACTGGAAATCATCTGTTGTCACTTTTCTCCCACCCATAGTTTTCAGGAGACGGAATGTCAGGGTTTGCCACAACATCGTTGTCCCAAACAATAGCTTGATAGTGGGCTCGTAGAACAGCTTGAAGAAGAGCACCTCGGGTTGGTGGCAGTCTTTCTGACTGTGCTTGCTTCTTACGAAATAACAACCATCGAAGTTCTTTCACGGTGGTAAGCGATGTATTTGGAACATAGAGTTCGCAAACAAACTTCTCAATGGCCTTTATGGTTTCTTCAGATGGTGTTAATGTTGTTCCCAGCTTGGCCATCTCTCTGACAACATCTTCATCAACATTCAGAAATGCTTTCCAACACAAAGGTTTTACATGGCCTGAAAAGCATCCGGTGTTATCTGCTCCACTGAGTACATGGAACGCAGGAAGAGCAGCTGTCCTGGCTTCCCCGAGAGCCTGAACTATTGGTTCTAGCCTAATTTCTCTGCGGTTGCGCCCCTTTCCTGTAACGAATGAAACATTGCTACACAGCTCTGGAAACCGTCTTAAAGCAAGAACAAAGACATCAGTGTCAGGGGAGTGGACATGGATCTCCATTGCACCATCCGATGTGGCATCAACGGCATGAAGGATGATCTTTGTGTCCGCTTCTTCTTGGTTGCTCTGAAGATGTCCAACATCTTTGAAGGTCGCCTTACATTCACTGCCTCATGCAACAAGAAATCGCCGACCACTCTGTCCCCTGAAGTGCCTGAATGCTTTGTCTGCGAGGTAGGTGGTGAGTTCCATTTTCGTCTTCGTATGCGACAGAAGCTTCTTCATCGAAACTCTTGAGATGTTGGTGGAATCTGTGATTCGATAATAGATGGGATCCTGTCCTCCTTGCCTTTTCTCTCTGGTGGCTTCTTTTAACGACATGGGTAAGTCATACCGATCAAAAATCAGGCGAACTTCATCCTTCTAATGTAAACTGCTTCATAAAGTGCCTGCTTATTAAAAAAAATAGAATAGGAATGCGAAAAGAATATATATATTTTTTATAAATATGGAGGTTTTCTTCCCGAAATTTTAGGCCTGGGTTTTAAGTTAGCAGCCTTGTTTCCTTAATTAATTAAAAAAAAAAGCAAAAACAAAACAAAACAAAAAAACAATTTTCTGGCATCAGAACTGTCTCATAATTATATTTAAGGAGTTGGGCCACGAGTCCGGGATATGGGCTGACCTTCATTTCATGCCCAGCTTACAGCCTCGCTTTCATGCTAGATAGATCACGTGACCTCCGCTAATGAATTAAACTAATCCGTTGGCTTCGGGGTTGCTTACTTATTGTACCCGGTGAATTTGGTTGAGTTTCCCTGAATTAGGAAGAAATAATGGCCCTTTATAGTTTTTAGCCTCGTTTTCATGCTGCATCAGCTAGCCCTTTTTAAACACGCCATAATTATCCTCTGAACGCTTAACAAAATTGTCAACAACGTTTTCAGGAATCCTGGTGGTCCAATGAACACTACAAGGCTAATGATTTGCTTTCTTCCAAAAAAAAAGCCTACGGGAACTATTTATCAGACATATGCTCCTGGACTATTAGTGGGTTATTCAACGTTGCATTTAAGCGACTACTGGTATTGCTCGGCTGATGAAAATGATGTGGAAATAACGATTTCAGTTCCATTTCCACCCTTGAAGAGCCAGAGGCCATCGGTTCCACTGCTGAAGAGCTTGGAATACTTTCAACAGTGGTCATGACTTGTGTCGTAAGCCTTTCGGTGGCCCTTGACAGCATCCTCGCCGCATTCGCAAGGTCGTCCGCCATGTTGACGGAAGGAGCGCGGGAAATGTTTAGTTACCAGGTTTTGCTCCATAAACAAGGCTGGGTTAGTCCCCAAACTGCTGCACCATATTTTTTAAAGAGCATCATTTACAAAAATTGACTCGAGCCAGCATTTACAAAAGTAAAGACATCATTTTAGAAGATTCTTAGCGTCATTTAGGGAAAAATAGCCCCAGATTATATAAAATAGGGGCAGCATTAACGAAACGACAGGTACCATACAATATTATAGGCACCATTTACAAGGTCGAGGCACCATATAAAAAAAAACGAAGGCTGCATATATAGAAATTTAAGCACCATTTACGAAAAAACAGAAGGGCTGAATTTTGGCGGGAATAGCACCTCATACAGAATTGGCTCCACTCAGTTCAATTGTCATTGTTAATGAGAGGCAAATTCATCAATAACAAGGTCACATATAGTCCTTACAGATTTTTGCTGATTCCTAAAGAGAAGTTATCGAATTTCAGATAGTATAATTTTATAAATCGTGAAATACAAGTAATTTACATTGTGCTGCATTTCCATTTGTAAATTTTCATTATTTATTGACTGAATGCCGGGTTTTTCTTTTCAGAATATCTGTAGAAAGCCATGAGTAGTAATAAAAGACGTCTTTCAAAGGATATCACAGGAGAACCTAAGAAAACAAAACACGATGTACATGTAAATGCTGTAAGTACCAAGAATACCCTTACACACTGTTTTAGCGCGCTTTTTGATGAGGTGTGATGAAACCTAAACCAAGCAATCACAACACCAATCATAGCAAGGAAAGTATCAAATAAGATTACTCGAAGTAAGAAAGTATAAACAAGTAAATGGTTTGAAGTATGGGAAAATACAATTAACCGTCGGCCAGTTGCTATCGGTTGTCATTTTGAATCACATTGGTTAAGAAAGTGGCCAAGTTTTCAGGACCAATTTCAGAGTGAAGGTAAGCAAAACCTAAGGGATTGCTTTCGATGATCAGTGAAAGTGGCCCTTTTGTGTAACCATTATTTGTTAATACATACTGCAATCATAGTGTTTCAAGCAATCTTATTGATTTATTTACCAATGTATGACAATCACATGGTTTCTCATGAATAGCTTGTTATCTTTCTTGCTTTGTAGAGTCAACAAGATGATTAAGTGTTGTATGACAGGTTTGTTCTACATCATTGCTGTTACTTGAGTGGTATTTGTGTTTGTTAGTGATTTTGCATGGACATAGAGTAGTGTCCTCAGGCCATTGATAGTATTAGTTTCATTAAAACTTGTTTAAACCACTGAACATTACTGGTGGTCAGAGAGTCCTGGTAATACCAAGTTAACATGGCCTCTTAAAATTTAGGATTGTCATTCAGTTTTGTACTTTACACAAAATGGGGTTGCTGCTTATGCACCAATGCTATGTCAGAAAAGAAATTAAATTAAATAAGTGCTTTCCCTTTGATTAAGCACCCTGCATCTTAGCCTTTTGCTCCCAAGATCTCATTACCAATTCTCCTTACCAACTCTGCCATACCATTGTTATGATTTTAGTTCCAAGAATTTAGTGTTAGATCAACTAATGATCCCCAAATTAACATTTCTTTATCTTCATAACTTGTCAGCATAATATTGTTTAATAATTGTTTGGAAAAATTCTGTCTTGTTCACTCCTAGAAATTAAGGGTTAAGAAGCATTCCATGTCTTGTGCTTAATTTAATGTGCTTGGTAACAGATTTACAATATCTGAAATTGTTATTAAACATGCTGTTTTTATATTTAGATGCCATTAAATGTTCATATAGCAAAAACTACTGCTCATATACGGATGCAGTTAATCTGATTTGTTCTTTTCATAGCGGTTATTTTGGGTCTCAAGGAAGTGATGCATACCTCACTGGAGCTGGTGCAACATGCAGGTAACTTAGACATATTTTACACAGTGTAGCTAAGAAGCAAGCTGGAATAACCCCTGGAAATAAAGAACATGGAAAATAGTACATTATTTCACACCAACTTTGTTTGTTTTCAAATCTGTTTTCCCCTTAGTAAGGTCTTTTATTGCTTCTTCAATGCGTTTTATTTTAGATTCAATTAAAATATATTTTACATCTGATCTATTCAAATAGCCATAAGTTATCTGATCATTAGGCTAGCTCCAATAAACTCTTAACTTAACATTTTTAACACTCAGCACATAGTAATTTAAAATAACTATTAATTATACTCTTGCATTAAATACAATTCTCAAATTCTCAAGAGGTGCACAATGTAATTTCCTTCGAATATCTTGGTGCAAGGGAAAAAACTAAAGTACCCTCAAAGCTTTAGACCCTAATTACACATAAATAAATTGCCAGGAGTAATAAGGCATTATCATTACTATGAATGTTTAACAGATAAGTTGTGATTCTTTACTATGGTGAAGTGCAATGGGTGACTAAATCTTATACAGGGTATTAATATATGTTCAGCTGAACTGTACACACATTTTGAATGGTTATCACTCATAATATATTGGAAGACACACAGAAATGACGTCACCAATAACAACATTTTGCTTCCTTATCAGTCATAAAACAAATAGATTCCATTTTGCCATGGCTCTGTACAGAAAAGGTAGAAAAGGGTTTTTTAGTCATTAGTAAGAACATGAAACCAATTTATACCATTCAAGTAGAGAAAAATGGCTCTGATTTTTTGTTTTGGTAATTTACACTCTGAGTGTAAATTACCAAACAAAATTCAGAAGAAGAAAGAAATGGAAGTTCAAAATTTTATGCCAACATTAAATCTTGAAAACAGGACACAAACAACCAAAATTTGTGGGACATGGAAAGAATTAAGCACTTATTTTTAATGCGCTGATGGCATTGGTTTTAATGTGATGAAGAAGTTGTGATAGATTTTTGAAAACTGTATAAATTCATTTTCTTTAGCTAGGTGGTCAGGTTATGCAGATTCCATTTTTCAAATAAGAAGGAAAATTTTAATAATTCAGAGGAGAGACAATCCATCTTTCCATATAATATCTTAAAGATGGTAAATCATTTACAGCAATCATTATGCAATCTAAAGAAATGTTATGGAGTAGTTGATTACCTGATCTATGACTTAAAATGTTATTCATCAAATGTTCAGTCTCACCCATTAGGAGCAGAGCCATATATAATGGAATGTTAACTGAGTATCTAGAGTAATTTGGTCTGAAATCATACAGCTGTATGCATGATTTCAAAATCAAATGAGCATGCAGTGTAAGTTTGATTTGAAATCACAAGTATTATTTTTTTGGGAAAAAAAAGGTTTTTGGAAAAAAAGTTGCAAAGCATGTCTCACAAGTAACAAAAGGTAAACACTACAGCATATACTGTTGAGTACATGCATAAGAGTTGCATGAGGCAGTAGCAGAGACTGATTCTAGCTTTAGGTTAGTTATGTTATGTTAGCTTTTTTGTCCTTCATTTTCCTGCAATTTGATTGGTTACTTTAAAAAAGCCTTGAAATCTTAGGGTTGCTTTCTCACTGGCTGAGAAAAAGATGTGCAATTAGTGAATAAATTGCACTGCTGTGAGCTAATCAGATTGCAAGGATCACCAGTGATTTCAAAATGGATGTATATCAAACTTATATATGTATATCAAAAAGTAATTCACTGATGAAAGCTGTTAAGGGTTGTTCAATCCACACAAACAAGCTTAATGATTGCTCCTTAAATTCTGACCTTTGTTTACTTTGAATAATTGTTTACATTATCCTTACTACAGGGAAAATTCATTCCAAGGAAATGATGTTGAACGTATGGAAATCGATGAAAATGAAGACAAACAAGAAGGAAATTCTTTCTTTCTAAGCACTGAGGGAACTGGCAGTAACAGGTAATTTAAATGATATTGCTAGTGTAATATTGATATTGGGTTCCCAGAATGCACACTAGCATTTTAAGAAAACTGTACTTATTTTGAACTTACTGCACATGGCAGACACTTCACATAAATAATTATTGTTTGCAGTAGTTGGTGTTCACAATTGCTTACATTCTTTGAAAAAGTGTTTTGGGAAAAATACAGCAAGCAAAACCTAATTAAATGTAATTAAATATTATTGAAAAGCTCCTAGTCCACAGTAAAACATGGTTGATTTACTCCTCGTTCTTTTAAAGACTTCGTTTGCATGTATTTCCCACAAAGCTGTGTCTCACCCACTGCATCTGTAAAGTTTTCTGAAGCATGTTGCTGTCAATAAGATGTTTGCAAATACTGTTTTTCCATACGTTTAGTGGAAATTTAATGTGATGAACATTTCCTGTGTGGACCTTCATACATGTATTTTAGTTTTATTGGGCGAATTGATTCTTCTGACTGGAAAACGATTCTTATGATAGGGAAATAACCCTAAGAAAACTGAATTCAGACTTAGGCAATTAACACAAGAAATAAAAAAACTGGTGGTGAAATTACTTTTATGTAGCAACCACTCATTCAATACCAGCGAGATATTGGCGAGGACCCTCAAGCATTATACATTTTGCTCCTCAATTTTTCTTGTTAGATTTATTTACTCGTGAAACATTCCATATATTGTATACAGGGAATTCTGTGAAAATCATTTGTATTGCACTATAAGTATTGGAGAAGATCATGTAAGTCAGCAGAAAAAGGAGAAAAATAGAAGTAAGAAAGAGGGCAAAGAATCTGGAAATGAAGATCAAAGCAAGATTATTCTACAGAAGTGCAACGCTCTCCTAAATTCTGGTGGGGGAGTGTTGGAAATGAAAATTTCCGACCCCCAGACTTGCAGCACAAGTAAGAAGGATCCTGTGGATAGTTTCTGGCAAACTATTGAGGAGCAATTGAGAAAAATGATTCGCCCATCAAAGTATAAAAATGTTTTCGACCGAAGTGTACTGTCTGACAAAATATTGCTGTTCATCAATGCTCCTCGTCACGTCTGTACAATGAAATACAACTTATTTGTACCAGGAGATGCGGGTGTTTATGAAGCTTCTTACGACGATGTCGTCGATTTTCTGAAGCTGAAGTCTGACGGCCCCAAACAGGACTTAAATTCATATATACGAGTGCCCTTGAAAGAGCTTCCGGAGGTACCAGATTATTTTTTTGACCAGGAGATAATCAGTTTGATCGAGTGCAAACAAGTTCAGTTGAAAGTATTCAGATCTGATTCTCCTTTGTTTTCAAATCATAAGCAGCGTTCTCTCATCACCAGACAGTTGTCAGCTTTTGGTAATTGTGATGGTGGGGTTCTTCTTATCGGAGTAGCAGATAACCGAAGAGTTTCTGGCGTAGACATGGAAAAAAATAGTAAAGAGCATGTAGAAGAATGTGTCATTTCCCTTGTCAAGAAGAATTGTTGTGATTTTGAGATTTAAAGAGGAATCCATTGGGATTTAAAGTTCTCTGATGTCTCTGGAACTGAATCCAAATCTGTCATAGTAATTAAAATGGCAGGATTTCGGGACTCCGGTAGAATTTTTGGAAAATGCCCTGAAAGTTATGAATTACGATGCGATGAAAATGGCCAGCAGGTTCCTCATCCCGTTGCATTTGACAAGTGGAAGGAGAGAATGAAGCCTGATGATACAGATTTGACAGGGAATACCAGAGGTGTGTACTTGTACAAAGATATGCGCTTTTTGGTTAAGGAATATGGTTAGTTTATAAAAGCAATAAACTGCACAATTTATCGGTTTACTGGCGTAATAACTCAGTTGGAAGTACTCTCGAAAAAATTGGAAATCGCTTGTCTCCGGCGCTTGATTTACAAACTTTCTTGGTGTCCTTCCAACATCCCGCGAGGGATATCCCGTCGGTATCCCGATAGAAAGTGTGGCCCATAAATTTTATAAAACAAACTTACAATGGTTAAATTTTCTTTGGATTTACCGATGCAATAAACGATGATCATTTTCGTAATACCTCCAAGTTCAACCAGAGGGGTATTTTGTTATTCAGGTCAAATCGTACAACGAATGAATCTTTGGTTTAAAATAATTCTCTCTGCATTTATCACAAGAACATAAGTAGCCCAAGATTGCACTGTTTTGCTTCTCTTTACAAATCAAACGCAAATCTAAAACTAAATGCGACTTGGTCAGTCGTGTTTTCCCGCCTTTCAGGTAGGTTTCTTGTTTTACTTTGAATTGTTATTCTTTCCTTGATATATATTATTTGCTCTGAAGGGCTGCCATGGTTACTTCGGTTTTGATTTTACAATACTCAGCCCAAAAGCACGAACCATAGCTATGACTACAGGTAAATGTTTAATTTTCTTCATGTTATCTCTTACTTTTTAGGGATGAATGATATGCTACTAAAGTTCCAAAAGATGCAAATATCTAAGGGGCATCTTTTAACGGTGAGAAGAGATGTTCAGAGGATAAAGGATGCGTTTTTTAAAGGTAAGCTCATTTCAGAAATCTGTAAGAATTATGAGAAGCTCAGAGAAAGATGTTTTTCGTCTTGTTACGTGCGTGGGACAAAGAAAAAATTCTGAGTCCCCATGAGGAATCGAACCTCACACCTTCGGATTCCGCGCTCCGATGCTTTACCACTGAGCCACAGAAATCCTACGGCCCGGGAGGCGAGGTCTATTACGAAGTTCATATGACACGCGTCCTGCATACTGCTAGGATCAGCAATGTTGATAACGTCATGTTTTTAAATGAATAAGAGAGGTGGTAAGTTTTGAGCCCGGTAAAGAAATAGAGAAAGATGTTTTTCGTTTTTTCACGAGCGTTGGACAACGAAAAAAAATAAAACGGACGCGTTTCATATGAACTTCGCAATAGACCTCGCTCACCGTAAAGTCTCCGTGGCTCAGTGCTAGAGCATCGAGCGCGGAATCCGAAGGTTTGAGGTTACGATTTCTCATGGAGACTCAGAATTTTTTCTTTGTTCCACGCCCGTGACAAGACGAAAAACATCTTTCTCTATTTCATCACCGAGTTCAAAAACTCTCCACCTCTCTTATTCTATAAAAAGCTTATTTGACAAGTTATTTGTTTATAAGTTTAGTTTCTGAACAACTGCGCACCTACCCCCCTCCTCCCCTAACCCAACATTAACTCTAACTTGTTATCAGTTGACTGTTGTGGGGTTTGGTGAGAAAAACGACATTGATTCGAAATTAACTTTCGTCCATACATGTACACAAAATGGATCTCTGCCTTATCTTATCAAAAGCTAGATTCTTTAGGACAAATAAAAATTTTGATAACAACTGGCTGGTGTCTGAATACCTGGTGGGAAAAAAAGAATAGGTGTGGTCGAGCAAGTTGTTCCATAGAACACAGGAAAAGTATTCCATCCGTAAAATTTTGTTTTCTTACCTTGATATGAAGGATAGTGTTGAACTATTAAACTGACAATCCCCTTCCTGCGATCAATGGAACCCACTGCGAGGTACAGTATGTGCACTTACTTAAGAGATGCGTACAATGTTTGTTGCTTCCATATCTCTCGGTTGACATAGTCCTGTAGGCGATTGGCCACGGGCACGAAGAATTGCAGTACGTGGACTCTAGTGGACCAGGGAATATTTTCATCACGAGTATTTTCTGATATGTTCTCTTTGTCTAAAGTTCTCTTATCTCAGTTTTACGATATTTTAATTGCAGTTGACGAGAATTTCCCAATTTCACCGAGAGGTGTAGAGTCTAGCCTTCCAGTACAGGCACAGGAAGCGATTCTCAACATTCAAAAAGTTTGTTGTAGAGACCGTAATCGGGGTTTTCTGGCCGTATCACGTTCTTGGCTTCGCGATACTGGTGGTACCACAATCGATAGCGTCATCTGTGACGTCCTTCTTGTCAGTAGAAACATGGGTGGACTTCACCTGTACACTCTTTGCGATCCAGCAGATGAGAAGTCTCTGAAATATAGCAAAAAGGCCGCACAGTCCATAAAGAAACATCTTTCCGAAAATGGCGCCAGGGGCCAAAAGTTTTATGTGTCATACCATGTGCTACCATGTCGCGCAGGTGGAGAAGTGGAACTCCCACTACCTGACGATCGCTACCCGAAGTCTTATGATCTCCTTACTCCCCGTGAGAAACTTAACGAAATACTCAAAGCCATGGTGATAACTGTTGCTGCAGTGCCCTCTACCTTGTCCAGCAAGTTAGGAGTAACCATTTTCAATCTCCTTACCAAGGAACAGTTCCAGTTGGTTCATCAGCGGGCTGAGACAAACGAAGAGTTATGGATAAAGGGAGTCGCTGGGACGGGAAAGACCCTTGTGGCAGTGGAATTCATGAGAAAGCTTAAACGCCGTGATAAACTACAAAAGGATGAAATCCTTTATGTTTGTGAAAATGAGGGCATAGCAAACCAAGTACGGTAAGAATTGCCAATGAAAACGCCTACACTTCAGGACCAGCCTGCTTTAAAAATGACGGGTGTTAAAAATTGCCGGTTTAAACGCCGACGCATTTAAGGACATTTACCAGCCATAAGCGGTATCAGTGTATGCACTTATTTTAAATTACCCTTTTCTATTGTTATCAACTAAGAATCGAAATGGAAAAATCTGAAACAAGCTAAGATGATCGGTATCATTTCTTACTAGTAATGTGAAATTTCAGTTTGCAAAGTAATGTAATTAAATTTTGGTTAACTCTCTAGGAAAATTGAGGGGCTGTGCAATGCCGTTTGTCGTGTAACCTTCATCAGGAACGAGTTTCCACGAACCAAGCATGTCATACTTGATGAAGTTCACAACTTCGAGCAGCCCCTTGGCACAATTTCCTGGTATGAGAAAGCGAAGCGTCTGGTGCGACAGCACGATCCTGACAGACCGGGGCACTTATGGTGTTTTATTGACATCTGCCAAAAAAGTCACAATTTTCTCTCTGGTATTCCTGATGAAAGCCTACAACGACCGCACTTTAGGTTAAAGAAAGTCATTCGTAACTCAGCGAAGATATTCAAGCATGCCAAGAAATATCTTGTCGACAATGATTCGAAAGACAAGGTTGAGATAGGGCATGACTTTGACGGAGACGATGTATGGACAATATCTTATTCAAGGAGCGAAACAACCGAACTGGATGTTCTCCATACTACGTTGTGCCAGCTTGTGAAAGAGGGGTACAGTGAGAGAGATATCGCTGTATTGTTTTTGAAGAGTGACAACATTCCTTCTGGGGACAAGCTTTCTGCGAAGTTGAATGGTTTATCTTGGGGGTCTGCAAAGGACAATGATTCTAAAAACATTGTCATCAGCACGGTTCTTAAGTATAGCGGTCTGGAAAGACCTGTCGTTGTACTCGTGAATGTACACAGGCCTTTATTTAGACGCCAAAGAGATTCTTTCATTTACGGTGCAGTGACACGTGCTATGGTAAAACTCGTCGTTATACGATGCAAGAAAGGTTGAATTTATCGTCTTACTAAAATATTTATGGATGGAACATTGTGTCAAAAGTTGTATCGTTGGTGTTTTCAAAAGTTTCAAAAGACATTCAGAGGAACATTGAAGTTGTCACTGAAATATTGTAGTTTTTGGAAAAGAATAGTCATTAGCTTTCTTGTCAAATATAACCCAGACTCCTAACATTAGCTGCAAAATGAATTTAATAAAATGTATAAATGGTCTTTAGTACCAGTTATTTATGAATATCTCCATAATGTGGATTCTCGGAGGTAACACAGAGGCTTAATTGAAGAAAATTGTAAAGGGGTGGGAGTGTACTTGGTTTTCGAGGGAAGATTTTGCGCATGAAGATAAAAAAAAATTAGCCGATGAGATGGGTATGTTTTTCATTAAGAAAATCGCCGATATTCGTTTAGACCTTGATAATCATTATAAACAACAAGCTTCCACAGACCGCGTTTCTAATGACCGAAATTGATTTTCTACTCTTCAAGTTTAGTTCTGTCTCAAGAAGTGCACGACCTGGTTCGAACATCCAGTGAGAAGTCTTGTGGCTTAGATCCAATTCCCACGAAGCTATTGTTGGACTGTTTAGATGTTCTCTTTCCAATCATTAGTAAAATGATCGATTACTCCCTAGAAAACGGTGACTTTCCCTCTGCACGGAAAAATGCTTTGGTTCTGCCTTTGTTCAAGAAAGATGGTTTGGAACCTATATTTAAAAATTATAGGCCTGTCAGTAATTTACAGTTTGTGTCCAAACTTGCTGAAAGTGCAGTTGCTAAACAACTCCATCATCGCATGGTAGCGAATGATTTATTTCCAGTGTTACAGTCTTCGTACAGAAAGTTTCACAGTACTGAAACCGCACTCTTGAAAGTGAAAAATGAAATTCTGTTAAATATGAATAAACAGCATGTCTCACTGCTTGTTTTGTTAGACTTGCGTGCGGCGTTTGACACCATTGACCATTGTATTTTACTGGATAGAATTAAATCTGGGTTTGGGATTCATGGTACAGCACTGTCATGGTTTGCATGTTATCTAAGTAACAGATCCCAGCAAATACTTATTGATGGTTCCCTCTCTATGAACTTTGAACTGACTTCTGGTGTCCCTCAGGGCTCATGCCTTGGCCCATTATTGTTTGTATTGTATGCGAGCAAGATTTTTCAAATCGTGGACAAACATCTGCCTGGCATTCATTGTTATGCAGATGACAGCCAACTTTATTTGTCCTTCTGCCCCAATGCTAGTGTTAACCAAGAGGTTGCTTTGGCTAGAATGGAAAGCTGTATTGATGATATTCGTAATTGGATGTTGAATGATAAACTGAAACTGAACGACGCAAAGACTGAGTTTCTGATCATTGGTACATCCCAGCAACTCGCTAAAGTAACTATTTCCAGTCTCCGGTTGGCAACTCAGCAATTACTCGCGTGTCATCTGCGAGGAACTTGGGCTCATGGCTCGATGCAAAACTCGCAATGGCAACTCACATAACAAGAACATGCAACTCTGCCTCTTACTACTTATACAATCTGAGGAGGATAAGAAAGTACCTGTCTAAAGAG